AAAATATCGGGACCTAAACGATCCATTAAGATCACCGATCACTTCACGTGCACCTCCGCCAATGTAATCTATTGCATAACTTGCACTTATTGCAAAAAGATATACATCGGCGAAACAGGTTGAAGACTAGGTGACCGATTCCAAGAACACCTTCGAGACGTGGAAAGGAAAGACAAGGACACATCGAAACCAGTCGCTAGACATTTTAATTAACCTAATCATTCTAAGCAACATATGGCAATCTGTGGTCTTTCCTTACACTTAGGTGGCACGGAAAGCCGTAAAAATCTTGAACAAAAGCTCATCTTTCAAACCGGCAGTCTAAATCCCACAGGGATCAACGAACGCTTTTCATTCCACTAATTTATTCTTGTTTTTCTCGTTGCCATGTTCCCACCAGTAACGTAGCTCCATTCTCTGCCTTAAAAAGCACACACAACCCACAATTCCTCTATTTGCTCCGACGAAGGGCTAATGCTCAAAAAGTCAGCTTTTGTAATCGTTACGGTGGCCAATTTACCACTTAATTTTTGTTGATATATCTAAATTTTCGTTACTCCCACCAATGCAGCCCCAAACAGTTTCTTTCGAAACTATCAGCCTTTATTCACAAAATTATTTGGCTTTCCTTAATCTCAAGAACACAGTAATGAAGAACTGGCACCTAATTCAAAAGCAACTGAGCTCAGGAGCAATATTTATGGTGCCACCCAACTACATGATATGGAAAAGGAAAGTCTTTGAAAGATACCGTATCCTGGTCAAAGCTTAACATTGAAGACAGCAGATTTAAAATTGCTTGCAAATGGCAGGAGTCATGCTGACCTGTCAACGTGTTTTAGAGAAACCTATTTTCTTATGTGTTTCTTTGTTTCAGGGCAGTTGTCCTCCAAATACTGGATGGTGTAAAAAGCAAACCACCTTCTAAGGAAGGTATATTACTGCAGTCTCCAACAACACACCTTCCAGGCATAATTCCATAGTCCTTCCCTAGGCTGTAGAGCAACTGCTTTCTCATTAAATGAGATAATATAATAGGCCAACCCACCCCATTCCCCCTATTTCTCAGTTGTGAACATGAAGCAGGCCAATTTTGGGGTCTTTGAAAATTCATAAAAAAAACTAACTAAAATAGATGCAACATTAGATTTTTTCGACTTTGTTAACAGTAAGACAAATAGAATTATTTTGCCAAAAAATATCTGGGGGGTTAGTGGCACTTTAATTCAGGTTCCGCAGAATAGGGTTGTTACAAAAAACAATAAATAAAAAATGCCATTTTACCATATACTATAACTGACCATAAAATGTACTAAAACTATTTAGAAAAATACTACTAGCATTGATACGGGAGATAAACTTTTGAGAGACTGTTTAATACTGTCAGAGAACAATACAAACAGGCCATTGGAACTCAGTAAAGGGTGATCACTTCATACAGCACTCCTCAATACAGGTTCAACAGCCATCTCCTCTTTATTGCAGTTGTTTAGGGACAAATAGCCAATGAAAATTCATTGATTGAGTGTGAGGAAACAAGTTTTCTGATAAATAATACCTCAGTCTGCAATTTCAATCTTCTCTCTTCCTCCTCACTAATCCCCTCTCCATTGATGCCTTCATCACGAATGGTCTGTTGAATACAGAGCACATGGATACACTATGTTAACTTAGCAATACAGTAAAGACATGCATTGAAAGTTATATGTTTACACCCTAACCTCTTAATCACATGTATGCTACCATGATACAAAGAACATTAAATTGTTCCAAACACTTGGAAAACTAAGGAATGAAATAACACATTCTAAATTAAGTGATAAAGTCTGTTAATAATGTCTTCTTAAAATTATGATGACTGGCTAACTCGGCAGACCATCCACACAAAGCTCAGAAAGATTTCCGTATAACCCCCTACCATTCAAAAACAAAGCTGTAGTCCCAAAGGAAATCTGTTGTTTTGCCTCTGCTTTCCTTTATCCAAGAATTGAATGTATGGGGTTCTAATGTAATCTTTCCCAAGGCCCTTTCCAAACTGTATTTCAAACTCTTAGCATGCTTCTCAATATTTATTTTGAAAGAAAACCATAATTAAAATGGGGATCACTTAAAGGAAATTTGCCATCAACCCCTACAATAACCCCTACAATAATTGTCTCCCTGTCAGTGGACAAGTGCAAAAGCATATCATGACAGTCAGAGCAACTACAGTATACAGGGCCGTTGAGGTCCACCTTGTCGGCATGCTTTGAAAAACGAGGCAGAAAACAAAAGGATGCATTGTGATTCAATGAGATGTAAATAAGTGGCCCTGTATTCTGTAGTTTTACCCAGGACACCATGAAACGGTGTTTCTTTATGGTTCGGTTCATCATGGCTTTGCAGAGTCGTGTACTTAATATAACAATTATGGTACGATCAGTTCTGTCTTGCACCTGGACAAAATCCCACAGCCACAAGCGCTAACACAGACTTCTACAGGAACACCCAGCCCTTGATTATAGTACTTGCTTATGACATTCACTCAACCAACAAAATAGGTTCAAACACATGTACGCAAATAAAACTTACTTTCGTGTCTCTTGGTTCAAATTCGTCGTCCTCCTTGTCATCAGTACTATCGCCATTATTTGAATCGTCAAACTTAAGACTATTTTTTCCAAACAAAAGGATCAATAATATTTTGTTGGTTACGAAGAGCCACCTGAACGACACCTGAACTAGCTCAAATTCATGTCTTACAGTAAAAAAAGACGTTTACTTACGCTTCGAACTTGTTCATTTTCAGAAACAACCATCTAAGGGTTAGCTTAAATACTTGAAAAAGCTCTTCTTGAGAAAATTTTGACTTTATAAAACATAAAAAGGTACAGAAATATTTTTCAAAATCATTGTTTCTACTTTATTGATCTCTTGGAAGACGCATGCGCACTTTAGATTATACTCGTTACCAATCTAGAGCCTGAGGGTTGCCCAAGATTATTATGTTGTGACTTAAATCATAACCAAAATCAGGTTTCCGTGTAAGGACTGGAACCATTATTGCCTATTACTTCATTATTTACCGAAAAAAAAAATTATTCAGTTTCAGTCGTCTAGTACTCGGAACCTGATTTTGGAGTAGCCATTTACATCTTCCTACATCATACTGCATGCGACAGGTAACTAAACCGCTGACAAGCAGCTAAGGTGACCCTGGGCTCGAGGTTGAAAAGCCGAGACTATGAGTTGTAGTAATGATCAGGAAGATGAGCGAGAAGTTCTCCGTTCTATCTTTGAAGCAGATGAAAACTTTATAGAGGTCAACAGCACAACCTTCCAATACAAGTTTGGGGAAGATGGGCACGCTAAATCGTTCTTGTTGGAAATCTCGTGGCCCTTGGATTATCCGACATGTCTTCCAAATATTAACTTAGATGCCTTTTATAACAAACATATCACCTCTGAGGTGAAAGAAACTATAACCTACCAAATTAAAGAACAATGTGAAATATGCCTCGGAACTGCCATGACATACTCGATATTTGATTGGGCTAAGGAACACTTGCATGAGCTTTTGGAAGATAATCAAGTGCAGGTAAGTACCCAAACTTGTTTGTAGTGATGCATCACTTGTAATGCCCATCGAACGTTTAAAACAGGTTGAAACTAATGCATTTTTCAGCCAGTTTGGTGGATAAGTGCCTCTAGGATTTTGTAAGCTTTGAGACAAATAACTTGATCTTTACGTAATCCATCAGTTTCTTACCAAAAGCCACCCACCTGTTTTCTCCTCCAGAGACAAAAGAGAGCCTGTTCTGGTGTCACTAGTCTGTACCAGTCAGTATGAGGCGCTAAGTGTGGTAAATTATTGATGCCACATGAAGCTGATTAAAACAACATTGATGGTCATCCATTACAAAATATAATGTTGTTTAAAGCTGATTATTATCAAATTATCATTAATGCACTTCAAAAGTCTAAATCAACTTGAATTAAAAATGATTCAAGTACCCTTATGCAGCTGACAAAATATTTCCCTATCTATCATTGAGGCTGTTGTCACTGGCCTAGGACAATGTGTGTTTGATTTTTGAGGTACAGATAATGTTCAAGGACAAATATCCCTGCATATTTCTGCACCAAATGGAGGCACTCAGGGGTAAAATGTTTACAAAAAATATACTGTTTGTTGTGTGTGGGATGTTTACTTTTCAGAGTTCTCTGGTACAACTTTGTGAACAAATAAATGAACATGTCTTTTCTTCTGTAACAATAGCCAAAAGCTCTCTCATCTTGAATTAAATTTTAAACAAATACTTTAATTGTAGTAGACAAAGTTTGAAAACTATATTCCCAAGTTTTAGCCCAGGCATATTCAATCGTGTGATGTGTTTATACCAATTGTGGGCAAGCAAAAATATTTGATAGAATATAAGAGAAATTTTGACTAAGTGATTTTTAATTTGAGCAGGAAGAGGAAAGAAAAGTGCAACAAATACCAGAAGAAGATTCAAACACTCAGTCAAGGAAAAAAGACAAGAAAGAAATATTGACAAAAGCACAGAAACGCCGCCTTGCTGATAGGACTAATTTTAAAGGAGAAAGAGAGAGGGGATGGAACTGGGTAGATGTTGTGAAACATTTAAGTAAAACAGGTGGTAAAGACTAATGACAAACACTTGGACTTGGCATTATTCATATGGTCAACTTTGTCTAAATCTCATGATCACCTCCCAAAGTTAACTACAACTACTTGATATATAAGCTGGAATTAAATATTCCTGTCCTGGAAAATTCAAGTAAAGACAATGTTTTCAAATGTACTGGGATTCTTGTCACTGAGGAAGGGCTTGGATTGTTGTTGTAGTTCACTTTAATTATTCAATTTAGCTCACGGGGTGCTTATTTCCTTTTGGTACCTCAAGGGAGGGTGCCTATTCCAAACAGGGCACTTCTTTCTTTTTTGAGACATAGCAGAATGAGCGCAACAAAGCTCTGATATTTAATTGGAAAAGGTTCAAGAGCGTTGGAAAACACACTTGTTGTCCCTGGACCCTTCCTGGCTAGAACGACCAGCTAAGCAATCGCCGCTAAATTTTAAGACAAGATCATTTGTCTAAGTGAACTGTGCTCTTACATGGATGCAACAGTTGAGAGACCGTGATGCAGACCACTGTTTTTGTGGCCACTGCCTCCTGTAGAAGGCAAACACACATATGCTGTCCAGATGAGTGAGTGAGTAATTGTAACCATAGACTTCCGATCATGACCTAATTTTGACCCGATGTTTCCTGTAGCTACTTATTGTCTTTTTCAGAGTATCGTAGTAGAGTAGTTCGACTTTCGCACCCATTCCACATGTCTCTCTGTTTCCTGAACACTCCTTTTACTGTTGCACGCGCGCTCCGTCTTAATTTATTTATTGCAATGACTATCACGTTTGTATAGGTAATCACATGATTTCAAGTGCAATTTGGAATAAATAAGCACAAGTAAATTTTTTCAAATACTAACAAAATTGCATGAGCCCGTAGGGCGAGTGTAATTTGTGGTCTTTGAAAAAATTTACAAGTGATTATTTCTTCCAAATTGCACAAGAAAATCATGTGATTTTGTATTGATAATATGCATGAAAAAATACGAGGTAGCTTCTCATAACTATGCAGAAGAAAAGCACCTGCATGACATGCAAAAAATAATTTATTCAAACCCTGCAAGTGACATTGACCTTGACCTTGACATTGACCAATCATTCTGACCAATTAGAGTGTCTGGTTTGTTTCTTTCTTTGCACTGAATTAACTGTCTTCTGCACTGAATTAACTGAAAACTGCATTCATCTTAACCAATCAGAACTGAGAAATTTTTTCATGTATATTATTAGTCGCGTAACACGTTTAGTTTAAGACGCGTAATCTAATTGTTCCGTTGTTCAGTTCAGCCGTTCAGTTTCGACCAAGCTAATCAGTTACTGAAATATAGCGAACCAGTTATTTGTCACAAGTACGGAGGCAGTCAAGAACAAAGTTTTCAGTTGATTTCCCGGTGATTACTGTTGATTTTCTATATTTTTGGAGTTCTTGTAAGGTAGGGTGCCAACGTGGTTTCTTTGTATTATAGATGGAATTGTCTTATCAAATGAAATACGGTTCTTCCTCTGTATTCTCTCTTTCGTCTTCTTTTCGACGGAACACTCTCCTTTTATGATTTCTGGCTTGTAGCTACTAGCACATATTTTCATTTTTTACCGTGACACTGCGGAAGACAGCAGAAAGCGATAATCTCACAATCATTTCGGAATTGCGCGCGATTTAAAACTGACGAAAGTTTTAGCAAAAATATCTTAATGGTTGTGAACGGTGCATCATAAAACTTAGGGGATATTGATTTCTTTGAATAGGGAGCATTTTACCGTTTTTATTACATCCATTTTGACATCACTGGTGGTCCCTGTAATCTGATTGGCTCTAAGTGGTGTGATTTAGGGTCGAGGCAGAGACTGAATACTCTCACAGCTTCACCAACAATTAGAATGAACAATACTCAAGTGAGCCAGGTTACNACAATTTACCAGACTGCAAATCCCACATGGTTATCTAGAAATACAAATTGAACCAGTTACGTAAGTATTTCATAAAACCTATTAAATAAATTAACCATCGTAAAAATGGTGTACTAAATGTCATGCTTGATAATTTTCAACTGCATCATTTTTGATAACGTAATTTTTTTGTCAATATATTCCCATGTGTCATTAGTCGATCTGTTAATCTGCTAGAGAGTATAATCTTTTGCTTCCTATCAGTGCTGTGTAACATCTGTGTTTGCATGCTACCTGGCCTCTTGCATGTCCACATAGAAGTCTTGTACATTCCATGTTAATGCCCAGTGAAGTAACAGCCCCATACTCAGCACCTATGACATGATTGATTAAAAAATTCTAGGTCACATTTATCTTTTCACTACAATCAATGTTTCATAAACAGATTGTACAGGTGTGTAAAATCTCTGACACATATAAATACCTAATGTTAATTGTGGAAATACTCTTCAGAATTGGTAGGCAAAAATCACAGAGCAATGCCCTTAAAATCACGATTGTTGACAGCTATTAAACAATTTTTATTGCAGTTAATAATATACATGAAAAAATTTCTCAGTTCTGATTGGTTAAGATGAATGCAGTTTTCAGTTAATTCAGTGCAGAAGAGAGTTAATTCAGCGCAAAGAAAGAAACAAACCAGACATTCTAATTGGTCAGAATGATTGGTCAATGTTAATGTCAATGTCAATGTCAAGGTCGATGTCACTTGCAGGGTTTGAATAAATTATTTTTGCACGTGATGCGCGCGCTTTTCTTCTGCCTAGTTATGAGAAGCTACCTCGTATTTTTTAATGTATATCATTGATAGATGATCACATGATTTTCTCGTGCAATTTGGAATAAATAAGCACATGTAAATTTTTTCAAAGACCACAAATTGCACTCGCCCTCCGGTCTCATGAAATGTTGTTAGTCTTTGAAAAAATTTACTCGTGCTTATTTATTCCAAATTGCACTCGAAATCATGTGATTACCTACACAAATTGCACTCTACTCAGTTCAATTACCATTATAAATCAGCAAATTATAAAGATCCAAAGATATAACCTTTTCGGTTCATGCCGTGACACTAAAAAAGACGACAAAACATGACAAAATATTTCAAAGTAGCATCCACCGACCCATAATTTAAATCAACTTTTCCTTGCTGAAATATCTCAAAAGATGGAACTTACTCACTCACTCGTGCCCTTTACGCCTAAGTGTCACGTGGGACAACAATCTGCTTCCTCTACAGCTGCCGGTCCTTTGCCATGACAGTTGACGCCTCACAAGGTCTTCCTCCTCTCCTTAATTTCTTTCTCTACTGCCCACCGAATCCTCTTCCTTCAAGCACTAACATTCTGAACCACACAGGAGAGTTATCATGACGCCCGCTGTGACAGAGTTTCAGTTTAGTGCGAGTACTGTAAGTGGAGAAGCGCCATACCTTATTCATCGTGCTGGCGAGTTTCTGGCCTTGTTGAGACAGCTCTGGATGTCTAGGTCAGTTCCTCAATCTCTACTGATGATGCTGCCTAGATAGGTAAATCTGTTAGTGTAAGGAATTTCTTCATTATCAATCATGGAAGCTTTGAGGAAAAATTTACTGTTTGAATGAGGGGATTACGCCGAAAAGGGCCGCTAACTATAATAACGGGGGATGGGTGACCCCTGCCAACCTGTCGCATAAAAATCTGTAATGCAGATTCAGAATTAAACTTGAGCCAGACGGATAATAAATCAACCCAGGGAACTTACAAGATGCAAAGTAACATACACCTAAGCAAGGTAAGTTTGTTTTCATTAAAACAATATTTAAGATTCCAGGGTGGAGAGTGGTATCGTTTAGTCTCTCGCCAGACCAACACCTCAACACCCGCCGCGGGGGGTATGTAACCTTGTCCTTTCTATTTCCCTTTGTTCCTCCACTCAGTTGCGATTGACAAGTAACAAATACGATCTGGATTGCTTCACAAACGATGGGAGCTGCAAAGAGTCGAATGGTATTTAAAAGAAAGCAGCCATTGATCAGGAAGAGTGTCCAAATTGAAGAAGAGGCTGCTGCTCCAAAAATTGTACTCTTTACAGGGCACTCGCACAGAATGAATCTAGCGATTGCTCTGCCGTTGGCTGAAGATCCGCTTTCCAGTTTCAAAGTTTTGGTCACAATACCATCTCTTACAAGTAGTGAATATTTAGAAGATCCTCGGGTTTTAAATGTCCTGAATAAGACACTGTTTGTCCTCCAAATGAATTTGGAATCGAATGAATCGATCAAAGGAGTCCTTGGAGAGATCATGGATACTGATGGATTTATTGATGCTGTCGGTGAGTGTCATGGTGTTTACTCACAGTAAATTGCTTATTTTCTTCTTATTATGACGATGTTATTATCTGTATGGCGAGAAAAACGTGCGAATCCTTGTTATCATTCCTTCACGTTATTCCGCTGTCGATGGAGTTTTTACACATTTTTTTGTGCGTTAAGAGTACGTTTCGTGACAATGTAATGTACAGCTGTGCGTTTAAGGGGTACGTCAAAAGTTATTTGGACCTGCTGCAAACTAACCAAACTTACCCGTTCTGTTGACAGAGTGTTTTTTTTATTATTATTTTCGTAGATGTATTTTCCATTCACTTGAAAAACGTTTTGTGAGTTTTCAGTGTAATTGAAAAATATGACATTCTTACATTTCCGGTTGTAAAGTTGTCTTCCCGAGATCACATGTTTCGTTGTTGAGAAGTCTGTTATCAATTTGTAGACTCCTCGGGCAGTCACTTCTTCGACTTTTACAACGCTGTTTCCATTGGGGCTAAAACATTGGACAATAGTGGTGTCAGAGAACTGTCTGCCAAAATTAATTGCTTTTCTAGCAAGAAATTAGTGCATAAAACGAAGTGTTTATCAGTTGACTCACCTAGAAATAAGGCCGTGTATTAACATGCTGGAATTAACTCGCAGGAAGTTAATACAATATTTCATGAGTCAATAAAGGGGAATGTTATTCTTATTGGAGCGCTTATTAAAACCCAATTTTAAATTTTCCCTGTTGGTTTTCAAAGCTGAGACTGGAGGGTCACGATGATGTGTTCTTTTAGTTGTTGCCATTAACAGACTCTGTGTCGAGAGACACTATGACCTCTTTGTCTTGGATCGCGTCGCTGCTGATGGTGGACACAAAATGAGTTGAGTCAATCCGAGTCACTAGTTGAAGGATACAAGATTTTGGCAAAACACTATAGGGTGCAGCTCAACAGCTGTTTGTGTCCAGGCCTGTTATTATTGTAAACGGACTCTGAAAGTGGTACGCTTTAGTTTAGTTGCATCCCGAATAACTTTCGAGACAGACGATTTTTCGAATGTGTGCTCAAGAGTTGTTTCTGTCTCTTCTCGACCAGGGAAAGTTTCGAGGTCTTTATTATAATTGGTAT